TGTAACTTGTACTAATGTTAGCTAACCATTATTAATGTTGTAAACCATGTGTTGTTAATGTTAACAAATGCATTACTTAATGCATTGTTACTTCATGCATGTTAATTAATACAGTAATTAACATCGACCATGTCATGGCTGATGGACATTTTATGTAAGTTGTTAATATTCTTTTAATACTGAATTCAGACAGAATGTAGAGACATTAAAATAATCTCTTCCTCTATCCCTCTCATCTCTCTCTCCTTTCCTCTCTTCCATTACTCTCTCCACCTCCCCGTCTCCCTCTTCACCTCTTTTTCTCTCTTGCCCTCTCTCTCTTCATTTCCACCCCTCTCTCTTTCTCTCTCTCCATCTTTCTCTCCCTTTATCTCTCTCCATGTCACTCTATTCCCCCTTCGGTCTCTCACTCTCTTTCTCCCTCTTCATCTTTCTATCCATCCCTCTCCTTCTCCCTCTCCATCTCTCTTCAGCCTGGTCTTTCTCCTTCTCTCTCTCTTTTACCCTCTCCATCTCAATCCATCAATCTCTCCATCTCTCCCATCTACTTCACTATCATCATATTTTTCCCTCTTTTTCTACGTCTCCACCTATTTCCCCCCTCAATCTCACTCCCTTTATCTTTCTCCTTTTCCATCTCTTCCTCTCAGTATCTCTCCATCACACTCTATCTACCTCTCTCCATATTTCCATCCCTTTCTTCTCTTTATCTCTTTACATCACTCTCTATCCATCCCCATTTCTCTCTCTCTCTCTCTCTCCTCTTCACTCTGTGGTCAAAGAACTTTTCTTGCCCAAACTCTCAAATCCTTGCAAAATCAAAACACACATTCAAACTGTATCAGAGAGAGAAACTGCACATCCATGGACAAACACAAACACATATGCACATGCACACACACACACACGTATGCACACACACACGCACACACACACACACACACACAGGTCACCATCCTTGTCAAAAAGTTATCAGAAAATGAGGGATTACTTTCTATTCAGGGGGGGATTTTGTAGATGCTTCTTGGCTGCACAGGTGTTTTGTGGTGATAAACAACTCTCTTTCACTGTGTGTGTGTGAGGTGTTTTAGCGTGTCAGAGCTTGTCAGTAACTCACATAAGAGGGAGAGGGTGTTAATCCTAAACCTTAAGTCTAATTCAGATTAAACTTAGGCTTTAAGTCGCTGGTAATTCACTTAACATTAGGAAGCAGACAGCACCTGCAAATCCAGTGATTAGAGTTTTAGACTTTAGTAACACGCAGACATGAGGTAGGTGGCTTCTATTGTGTTCATGCATCTCCGCATATCACTTACTGCAGTTTTCAATACATATTACAGCTACAGTTATGGCAAAACAAGTATTCATTTCTCAGGCTTATGGACCTATTATGATATTCCTCATGTAACACTAATACTAAACAAGAGGTCATGATATTTTCTCAACCTTGTCTTGGCTGCAGGGTAAAGAGATTTGAGTAACACTTTATTCGAACCTGGCTACATAACACTGATATAACCAGGACAGTTGTGTGCTGCCATGAGTTGTCATGACAGATCATATGCAGTAATATAACAGTGCCATTGTCATACAGCGTCATGACATATGCAGAGGTGGAAAGAGTAGCCTAAACCCATCCTCAAGTAAAAAGTATTAATACCTGGGTGAAATACTGATTCAAGTGAAAGTTAAAAGTACCTTCCCAAAAATACTGCTGGAAATGTTCAAAGCAAGCTCCCCCATGTCCAGTATCACATGTTAAAAGACCCCCCAAAACAATTCTTCTTTCTCTGTGATTCACCTAGAGTAGGCCTCTACAGGAGAATCCTTACTCTGATCAACGTTTTTCCATTTTCTGACCTATGTGGACAATGAGACCAAAGGACTCAACTACCAGTAGGCCTATCTTGAATAAGTTCAACTATTTCAAGTTAATTCAAGAAACTGTAACCAGACCTGCTGATCACTGCTATTCAACATTCAAACTTTCAGTCAAGCTTGAGATAGGAGCTCAGCGACCTTGTAAAGTGAAGCGATCAAGTTCTTCATTTGAATCTGTGAAAATTATTCCCCTCCTGGAGCAACATCCAGAAGATCAGACATTATTCAGACACAGTCAGTCAGTCATTCAGCATGCTACTATGCCCCGGTTATGTGGCCTGTATAGAAATGCTGAGCAGGCCCAGCAGACCTCAAATTTAGATCAACATGGCAAAAGGAAAAGATCTGACTGACTTTGAAAGAGGGTCCATTATAGAGGCATGGATAGCAGGAGCTTTAGCCACAAAAACTGCTTAACTGGAATGTTTTTCAATTGGAACAGTGACTGAAGTGACATCTGCATTTAGAACTATGAGAAGGATGTCAGTAAATAGACTCGGAAATGACTGTGATGCTTCTGCATTAGTGCAGGATGTGATCAGCCTGTGTCAGCAAGAACAGTCTATCCACAACTACATAAAGAAGGATATTATTGTCGGGATGCAGTACATAAGGCCCTCATTACAAAGACGAACACACATTTGAGAGTTCAGTGGGGCCAAAACCATAGGCTTTGGTCTACAGTAGGGTAGAAAACAGTGATATCTTCAGATCTTCACCGTATTCTCTACAAGTGGGAGAGTGCATGAGAAAGAATGCTTGACCCCTACAGTGGCTACAGTGCTGTGGGGAATTGCTGGCATGGTTTGAGTCTGCTCATCCAAGGGTCACTTCAAATACAAAGTCTTTCTTCCTGGCACTTATGAGCCTTTTATGACAACTGAAATACACCTTCGTTAATAAAGGCTTATTCCAAAGAATACCTTAGTCAATTTAAAGTCATTTCTGCCCAGAAAGTGTTAAAACATCCTGTGATGAAACATGAATATAGATGTGGGTGTGATTTCCTCCAGGCTGTTAAATGCCCTTGTTCATATTTGTAATGTTCATGTATGTTTCGGCAAAGTGTGAAGCATTTAAAAATGTGATAAAGTTCCTAACACACATTATCAACTTATCAGTTAATGCAGCTTCGACTGAGAAGAAAATAAATGTCTTAGTGGTATCAACTCTGACAGCCCTCTGGAATTCTTTTTGTCTCAAACAACCATGACATTAAAATTAAATGGGGTTAGGCGATTTCAGTGAACGCTATTAGAAAATCTTAACTGGGTTACTAAAACTTTTACTTCTCATTTTAATTTTAAATGCAGCTCTTAGGTTGCTGACAGCAGCTATTTGAAGCACTGTGAATAGGATATGATACCTCCAAAAAAGGACCTATGGGAAAATATCCATTGACACAAAGAACTGCTAATACTAGGGCTTATTCCATTCTGACTCATCCAGGGCCTGGCAGCTCAGGTCATGAATTTCCATGAAAACCATAAGTTATTGTAAAAAGACTTTATTCTAAGTGTTTTTACACTATTTCTATAATAACTGATATGTGCCTATATAACCACTAATAAAGGCTTATTCCGACAAGCATCAGTTGTCACGTCATATCACTCTCTGGGCTGAAATAACATTAAACTGACTAATGCAGCCTTTGGAATAAGCCTTTATTGATGTAGGTGTATGTCAGTTGTCATGAAAAGCTTACATAAGTGCCACGCAGCCTTACAAATGCTGTTCTTCAGTAAAGTGTTTCCCAGTTTTTTCACTACACCTGCTTTTCATATTATTTGACATGACACCTGTATTTCAGATTAATGCCTACTGCCAACAACAGAATGAATGGCATGTTAGGCGTACGTGACCACTTTACTGATCCTTTAGTTAAGTATTGGCATTGCATCACCGTGGCAGGAATGTAGCTGTTCCTGACATTTTCATTCTGCTGTCATTGGGGTTCGTTTGGGTGTAGCTCTGAATCTAAACTCATTGCAGCTTCTAGTTTAGTTGGCTACATTAGCCTCATAGTTTACTTTTGGTTCAAGCTACTATATTTGGTTCATAATGGCCAGAGTTCACCAAATGGACCAAAAAGAATGTTCCAAAGTGGGCAGTCATTCTTAGAATGTCTAGAAGAAAAACTTACGAGCCAAGTAAACTAGACTGAATGGGGAGAGAATGTTGTAGATTCATCAAATGTATGTCACATGTATGCCACATGTCAGACTGGTCAGTGTACTGGCCTTAAGAATTTACACTGTGAGCTACGCTGAGCTGCCCGTTGATCAAGTAAACCTACCATATTGTAAGTTTGCAATCATAGAGTTACTGAGCTTTTGCAACTTGCTAGGAAACATCTAATCCAAAAGAGTTTCTGCATTGTGTGAGTTAACCATCCTCTCGCCCTGTATCACTGGTCAGTTTCTTACCACAGGACCACTGTATGCTGGATATTTGGGTCGGTGGACTATTTGTAATACCTCTTTGTAAAAAACCTATGCTTAGAACCTTTTTGTAAGTGAGTCACTCATTTATTAATGATTACTTATTAGGTCATAAACACCTTAAAATCTCTAATAAGTAGTTCTTAAAAGAGCAGCAGCATCTGTTGCTTGCCAAATAATGAGCCCATGTTCATCTACACTGCCAAACCCCAGATCTCACCTTATCTTACTTTGTCTTCTCCATCAATCAGTATTATGGATGGTTATTACCCATGAGTTGGCCACTCTTTTTATTTATGTTATGACTGCTTATTATACTCCTTGTTGAAGGTGTTCATGAATAAACATTAGTAAACTAATTTTAAACCATTCATAAACCTTTATAGGGTAGTCTTATTATAAAGTGGTACCCTATTCTCAACGCTTCACTGTCAGTGAGCTGTGTAGAAACAATATTATCTTGCCAGCAGTGGTCCTATAGTGGTCCCTTCCAATGAACAATGGGGCTGAGGGGGGGCTGATAAATTATGCAGCAAAAGATGGGCCTACAAAGTGCATCTTTATGGTAGGTGTTTTTGAATAAATGGCCAATAAGTGCAGGTTCAAGGCACCTCAGTGTATATTTTCAAGCAGCTGCCCCAACACTTCCCCAGTGTGTATGTGTGTGTGTGGATCTACCTGTATGAGCCTCCCTTGTTCACTCTGCAGTGCGTTGAGATCCTGTCCCAGGTTGCTTTGTCCTCTCCTCAGAGACTCATAATCCATCTTCAACTGGCCGGCATGAGCTGAAAGCTTGGCCACTTCTTCAGCCAGGTTGACCAACAAGGCCCGGTCCTGACCTTTGACCGACTTGAGATCCGAGTCATGGTCTGTTAGAGAGTGCAGCAGAGATGTCTGCACCCCCTCCAGCCGCAGGAAGTTGCTGTTGTAGTCTGGGCAGTTGGGGTCGATGAAGATGTTGATGCGCGACCCATCTCCCCTCTCAACTGTCACCAGGGCATTGGCCTCGTCCTGATTGGTGGTGATGTGTGGTGGGCCATCGGACATGGGTGGGGCCTGGTAGTGGTTCATGAAAAGGATGGTGCCGGTTACGGTGACAGCGAGGAGAACGGCTACGAACAGGAGGATTGTGCAAAGCAGATAACTGCAGCTCATTCTCTACAGAGAGAGAGAGAGAGAAAGAAAGAGAGAGATTTATGCATTAGAGTAAGTGTGGATGACAAAGAAAAAAAAAAACAAAAAAAAACATCTTGACACTTGAAGGCATTTATCTCCATAATTTGGAGCGAACAAAATCCCACCTTTACCTCGTTCAGCAATGTTCAGGACACTGACAGGACCACCACAGAGCAGGTATTATTTGGGTGGTGGATAATTCTCAGCACTGCAGTGACACAGATATGGTGGTGGTAAGTGTGTGTTGCACTGGTACGAGTGGATCAGACACAGCAATGCAATATTTAAACACTTCAATGTCACTGCTGGACTGAGAACAGTCCACCAATAAAAAACATCCAGCCAACAGTGTCCTGTGACCACTGATAAAGGACTACAGGATGACCAACACAAACTGGGCAGCAACAGATGAGCTACAGTCTCTGACTTCACATCAACAAGGTGGACCAACAAAGTAGATGCGTCTAACAGAGTGGACAGTGAGTGGACGCAGTGATGAAAAACTCTAGCAGCACTGCTGTGTTTGATTTACTTGTAGCAGCGCAACACACACTCACTGCAGTGCTGAGATGAATGATCCGCCACACAATACCTGCCCTGTCGTGGTCCTGCAGGGGTCCTGACCACTGAAAAACAGGGTGAAAGGAGACACAGATGGACTACATTCTGTAATTGTAGAACTGCAAAATGCACCTATACAGTAACTGGAGCTGATAAAATGGACAATGTGTAGAAACAAAGTAGATTTCTATGCAGCTTATGCAGCTAGTATCTACAGACTGTTCTTGTTTACATGCTCTCTATAACTAATCTGTTCGTGCTCCACTTACAAATCCACTGTTTACTAGCAACTGCTGCAAAATTGCTCAGGCCTTACAGACCACTGGCAAAAATCCCATTCATCGTAATGTGAATGACCAACTATATTGAACTCTCCAGGTTTGTAGATCTCAAGGATCAGGATTGAGCATCCCTGAGCAACAGTATTTTGAGTTTCCTGTTTAAAATGCTATGCTTCTGAGTTGGATGGCAGATTGGAAACAACAATGATGAATTTGCCACCATTCTAACAAAAACTTAAAATAAATGTAGTTTAAAATAAAGTTCTCTAAATATAGGTATACTGATAAAACTGAGTTGTGCCCCATTTCGTGTCAGGATAAATGGGATTTTCAACAGAGTTTTTTAAAGCTTGCAACAGTTGCTATGAATGAATACATTTGTGAGTGGAGGATGGATGGGTCAATTTGTCCAATGCTCGCAGTTTACGTCAAATGGAAATTACTTTTTGAAGCAAAAGGTTTTTTTTTTTTTTGCCTAAATAATGCAGTGGTTTGAGTTTGTATGGTACAGTGTCCACTGCTTAATGAACAAAAATCTTAATTAACAAGCCACTAATTAAGAGAATATTGCTTTGACTGTGACTTGTCCAAATCATCACATTGTTTATTCTAAGACCTCCCCTGACTGTGATTGATCCCAATCTGTAAAACTGTAAAAGTTCTTTTTAACTAAATTTACAACAGCACGTTTGGCAGTAGTTCAGTTTCGTTTAGTGTTCTGTTGTTTGAAGTACTGCCAGCTTAAATCGCCTTTATGATGCATACTGTTGTTCCAGATTCAAAGCAGTGATGATGCACATCAGGTACTCATGATGCATAAAGTGCATTGTGAAGAAATGTATCAACAATAACATGCCATCATATTACACAACCTTATGCAGTAGGAGTCTAGGTGGCTGGGCATGACACAATGACACACCGTCAGAAAAAAAGGTGCAGGTATTTTTCTTTCATCAAGGTACAAACAATGTAAATGCACCCTCAAAGGTACAACAATGGTTTTAAGGTCCAATTGTGTACCTCAAATAAGTTTTTTTTTTTTTTCAGAGGGGATTTAACTCAATGTTTTAAAATAGAACAATAAAAGTGAAGACAAGACAGGGTGTGTGGAATCAATACAATTATAAATAAAATATATATATATATATATATATATATATATATATATATATATATATATAGCTCAGGAGGCGTGGCCATACGAAGAGCCATGTGAGGAGGCTCATGGTGGGTGCACATCCTCTGGAAAAGAGACTTGTTATGTTGCTGTCCCTCAGTTAAAAGATGTGTTATGTATAATGTGTGTTAGGGCATGGGCGTTTTGGGTTAGCGGTTGGTCAAAACAGGGTATGGCTGGTGGTGACCTCCCCCCGTTAGTTCAGTGATTTATAAGTGGTTTTCTGCCAGTGTTTCAATAAAGGTGCCCTACATTTCTGCTAGTGTTTCAATAAAGGTGCCCTACTCGCAGCAGAATCATGGCCTACCCTGTGCCTTACTCTATGCTGAAGCAACAAGATTCTAATATTGAAAGTACATTTGAACACTCATTTTGGGTTGGACCAAAAAAAATGAACATATCTACGCCTGCTCTGCCCAATCATATCCCCACTACTGGCCTTATAAAGGACAGGAAAGTGTGAGGGTACAAGAGAAAGAAGAGGGTAGTAAAAGGAAGAGAAAGAATGATGAAGGACATCCAAGCAAAGTAGGATCTAGTGATAAGAGAGGCACGTGGACTGAAAGATGGAGATAAAAGAGATAAAGATGATGAGTCAAAAGCGATATGGACATGATAACGAGAAATAAGTCGAGTGACAGAAGAGGAAAAAGACCGAGAGGGACGATGGGGGGGTGGGCATTAGCCCTATCATAATCATCAGCATAACCATTTTGACAGCGCTGAATGTGATTTTTAAAAGCCTCTGGAAGCAATTAGCCTAGCGTAGCCTGACGAGGCAAGAAAGAGAGAGAAGAATAGATGCAGGTGCGCTAACCATCGATCCATTGCTCTTTCGCTCTCCGTCTCCCAGATGCTACCCGGCAGATGTGTCATCATATGGTACATGTGATAATGTTTGATTGCAAGACTCAAAGGGATCATCAAGTCTTAGACTGTGTGATCATGAATTACATTTATTTCTGCTTTTAAACAAATGTTAGTGCCACTGATTCTTAGCGCTGAGTGCTACATTCTTAAAAATAAAGGGTGCCAAAAGCCTTCTTTGAAGACCCACTTTTGGTTCCCTAAGGGGACGTTCCGACCACAGCTTTTCAAAGTCTCTCAAGAGTGCTTCGTTTAATTAGTGTCTATGGAGCAACACGTACCGCAATTGAAAAGCACTTCTCTAGCCTACCCAATACGCTTTTACATTTTTAAACCAGACGTTTAAGTAAACTCCATCCACTTCTGAGCTGAGCGCCCACGAAAGAGTGCCTTGTGTCATCCACAGCTGACAAATCAATTTCGAGGATGCCTTTTTTCAAGTCAATCATCCAACATAGAGGAACAGCTAGGAGTTTTTGAACATCTGGAGCCGTGCAGCTCTCGACACAAAGATTACTGAATGTGAAAGAGGTTTCTGTTTTTATATTTACATGCATTTGTCTCACCTGCACTACTGTAATACCTTATTTACTTGCCTTAGTCAAGAAGCTCTGGCTCGGCTTCAATTAGTGCAAAATGCAACTGCTCATTTTCTTACAAAGACCAGACATAAGGATCACATTAGCCCAGTGTTTGCCTCTCTCTGCTGTCAGTGAGACATAGAATAGTTTAAACTACTGGTGCTTATTTACCAGGCCTAACATGTCTACGTTCCTGAGTATATATAGCCTCCAGTATTGTCAGGTCTATGAGGTACATTAACTGTTCCAAGAAGTGAAGTGGGGCAGTGTGCACGATGAGTCTCGATTTCTGCTGAGGCACATAGAGGGTAGGCTTAGAATCCATCACCAACAACACAAGTCCATGGATCCAACCTGCCTTGTGTCAACAGTCCAGGCTGGTGGAGGTGGTGTAATGGTGTGGGGAATGTTTTTGGGCACAATTTTGGCCCCAATCAATCATCGCTTGAATTCCATAGCCTATTTGCATATTGTTGCTGACCATGTGCATCACTTCACAGCCACAATTTACCATCTTCTAATGGCTACTCCCAGCATGCTAATGAACCTTGTCACAAAGCAAAAGCCGACTCAAACTGGTTTCATGAACATGACAATAAGTTCTGTGTTCTTCAGTGGCCACCTTGTCACCGGTTCTGAATCCAATAGAACACCTTTGGGATGCAGTAGAACAGGAGATTTGCAGCATGAAAGCGCACTTGAAAAATAATGCAATCATGTCAACACGGACCAGCACCATAAAGGAATGTTTCAAACATCATGTGGAATCCATGAAGAATTGAGGCTGCTTTGAGAGGAAAGAGAGGCCCTACTATTAGTATAGTGCTGTATAGTGTAGCGCTTGGTGAGTGTATGCCAGTTTCTAAGTGTTTATTGATTGTCTCAGTCTTTGATGTTCTCTCAAATTGCTGTCTCATGTTGATCTACTTGTCAGTCAAATGTAGGTCAAAGAGGCAAGTTTAAAGCTTTTTCATGTTTAAATAACCTCTATATAATGTAAAGGTTCTATTCCAATTAATTATAATCACTGCATTAAACTTCAAAAAAAGGTTTTCACATGCTGCACTACTATATACTGTTTGCTATATACTACACTATACTATACTATACTATATACTGCTATATCAGATATAGCAGTGCTGCTGGAGTTCTTTAACACATCATTGTCTCTGCTGCTGGACCAAGTATAATTAAACAATCAAAAATATCCAGCCAACAGCATCCTGTGACATCTGATGAAGGATTAGAGGATGACCAACACAAACTGTGCAGCAAAAGATGAGCTACTGTCTCTTATTTTATACCTACAAGGTGGTTCAACAAGTTAGGCATGCATAATAGAGTGGACAGTGAGTGGACAGCACTGCTGTTTTTTATCCACTCATACCAGCGCAACACACACTAACACACCACCACATCAGTGTCACTGCAGTGCTGAGAATGATCCACCACCCAAATATTACCCGCTCTGTGGGGGTCCTGATCATTGAAGAACAAGGTCAAAAGGGGGCTATC